GGAAAGGGAAGATCCAGGGGTCTGCAGGAGCTTGGACCTGGGGTTCCAGCCAGAGAACACGAGCACAAAAGGTATGGGAATTAAGTTTCTGAGGCCTAGGGAGTCAGGGAGAGGGATTATTGCCTGTACCTGGCCTTGCACCTGATGGAAAGTTGGTACTTGATATTTGTGCCTGAAAGAATGAATGAGAATAAGTCCTACGCTGGTGGGGGTGGGGGACACTCAGAAATCAGTACAGCTGAGTTGTGCTATCAATTTTATCACTTTCTAACTACTATATTTAATTATCTATAGGGCATGATCAACCAACTTTGGCAATTTATATATATATATATATATATATATTTATATACATATAATTATATATATATATATTTAAAGTTTTTATTGATTTATTTTAAGAGAGTGAGAACAAGCTAGGGAGGGGCAGAGAAAGAGGGAGAGAGAGAGAGAATCCCAAGCAGCCTCTGCACTGTCAGCGCAGAGTCTGATGTGGGACTCAAACTCATGAACCTTGAGATCATGACCTGAGCTGAAACCAAGAGTTGGATGCTCAACTGACTGAGCCGCCCAGGCCCCCCAACAATTTATATTTTATTGATAATGATGGGTATAATGTATTAAACACTACTTATAAGTCTGACACTGCACTAAGTACTTTATAAGTATTCTTTGTTTTTAACAATTTTTTAAGTTTATTTATTTATTTTGAGAGAGAGAGAACGCATGCACACACAAGTGGGGGAGGGTCAGAGAGGGACAGAATTCTGCACGGTTGGCATGGAGCCCAACACGGGGCTCGAACCTGTGAACTGTTAGATCATGACTTGAGTTGAAACCAAGAGTCAGACGCTCAAATGACTAAGCCACCCAGGCGACCCTACAAATATTCTTAAATTTAATACCACAAGCCTGTGTCAAGTCAGATTTCTCTGGTTACTTGCCCTTTAGCCATACCTACCTCTTGCTTGGGAAAATGGTTCTGAGACTCCATTCCAATGTGGGTTACCTGCACCCGCACTTCTCTGGGGACACCAACTGGGTGTCCAAAAATTCAACTCCGTTCTATCACCATCTGCCTGGAGATAGTATTGGATCTCACAGGTTAAGTGTTCAGTCCCATACGACTACCCCTCACCATGAGCCCCACCCTCACCCTGAGTCCCCCCTCCCCCAAGCCCCCCCCCCCCTTCAGATGCCAGTTACATGGCCAGGTTACCT